CTCTATCCCAACAGTCCCAAAAGTCTTAGCTTGCTCCAGCACCAACTTAAAAGTTCAAAGTCCAAAGTCTCCTCTGAGACCAAAAGCAAAAGTCCTTCCAGCTGTGAACCTGAAAAACAAAACCAAATTTATCTACTGCCAAGATACAATAGTGGAACAGACATTGGGTACACGTTCCCATTCCAAAAGGGAGGAATAGGCCAAAAGAAAGGAAAAACAGTGTCCAAACAAGTCCGAAACCCAGCAGGGCAGACATTATGTCTTAAAGCTCCAAAATAATGTTCTTTGACTCCAAGTCATGCATCCTGGGCACAACTGGGCATCTGGGCCCCCAAAGCATCAGGCAGCCTTGTTCCCACAGCTCTGCCAGGCACAGCCCAGTGGGCCACGCTGGTCCCTGTGGCTTTTCCAGGCCTGTGTTGCATGTTACCAGTGGTCCTGAAGTTCTGGGGTCCTGGCGGCAGCGCCACTGCCTTGGCTCTACTAGACATTTCCCTGGTGGGGGCTGTCTGTGGGTGCTCCGACCCCACTTTTCTGCTTGGCACTGCTCTAGTAGATGACCTCTGTGGTGGCTCCACCCCTGTGGCAGGTCTCTGCCTGGGCTTCCAGGCTTTTCCATATATCCTCTGGAATCTGGGTGGTGGCTGCCACACCTCCCCTGCTCTCCTGTTCTGCCAGGCCTGCAGACTTAACACCAGGTGGATGCCACCGAGGTTTCAGGCCTCTACTCTCCAGGGCTGCTGCACAAACCACACTTGGGGCCGCTCCAGGTGGAGCAGCTGGGATGCAGGGAGCAGGATCCGGAGGGCAGCTGTGCCCCAGGTCTGTCCTCTGGGACAACTCAGTCCTTCTAGGCCTCAGGGCCTGTGATGGGTGGGGCACCCTTCCAGACTTCTCAAATGCCTTTAAGGCATTTTTTCCATTGTCCTGGTTCTTAGCATCTGGCAGCCTCACCACCAAGATAATGTCTTTAGCAACCAGTTTATCTGCTTCACCCTTACATTGTTCTCCAGCTCTCTGCTTCTTTACGGTATGGCCAAGCTGCAAATATTCCAAAACTTTACTCTCTGCATCCCTTTTAATTTCTGGCTTTACATCATGCCTTTGCCTCCATAACTCAGAGTAGGCTGTTAGAAGTAACCATGCAGTGTCCTTAATGCTTTGCTGCTTGGAAATTTCTTCAGCCAAATGCTCTGGTTCACAACTCTCAAGGCCCACCTTCCACAAAGTCCAAGGGCACGGACACAATGCGGCCAAGTTCCTTGCTATGGTGTAGCAAGGGTTATCTTTTGTCCAGTTCCCAATAAGTTCCTCATTTCTATCTGAGATCTCATCATCCGCCTGGTCTTTACTGTTCACGTTTCTATCAACATTCTGGTCACAACTATTTAACCAATCTCNTTATTTGGCTTACGATTCTGGAACAGCTGCATCTGGCACGGGCCTCAGGCTGCTTCTACGCATGGCGGAAAGTGGCAGGCAGCCGGCGGGTACAAGCAGATCAAATGGTGAGAGGAAGCAAGAGAGAGAGAGAAGGTGCCGGGGTCTTTTTAAGCAATGAGCTCTCGTGGGAACTAATAGAGGAAGAACTCACTCATTAAACCCCCCTCCCCCAGGGAGAGCATTAATCCATTCATGAGGGATCTGCCCCCATGACTCAATCAGTTTCCAACACTGCCACATTGGAGATCAGATTTCCACATGAGTTTTGGTGGCGACAACACATCAGAACTCCATCATTCCGCCCCTGGCCCCCCAAAACTCATGTCACTCTCACATACAAAATACAATCACTCTATCCCAACAGTCCCAAAAGTCTTAGCTTGCTCCAGCACCAACTTAAAAGTTCAAAGTCCAAAGTCTCCTCTGAGACCAAAAGCAAAAGTCCTTCCAGCTGTGAACCTGAAAAACAAAACCAAATTTATCTACTGCCAAGATACAATAGTGGAACAGACATTGGGTACACGTTCCCATTCCAAAAGGGAGGAATAGGCCAAAAGAAAGGAAAAACAGTGTCCAAACAAGTCCGAAACCCAGCAGGGCAGACATTATGTCTTAAAGCTCCAAAATAATGTTCTTTGACTCCAAGTCCTGCATCCTGGGCACAACTGGGCATCTGGGCCCCCAAAGCATCAGGCAGCCTTGTTCCCACAGCTCTGCCAGGCACAGCCCAGTGGGCCACGCTGGTGCCTGTGGCTTTTCCAGGCCTGTGTTGCATGTTACCAGTGGTCCTGAAGTTCTGGGGTCCTGGCGGCAGCGCCACTGCCTTGGCTCTACTAGACATTTCCCTGGTGGGGGCTGTCTGTGGGTGCTCCGACCCCACTTTTCTGCTTGGCACTGCTCTAGTAGATGACCTCTGTGGTGGCTCCACCCCTGTGGCAGGTCTCTGCCTGGGCTTCCAGGCTTTTCCATATATCCTCTGGAATCTGGGTGGTGGCTGCCACACCTCCCCTGCTCTCCTGTTCTGCCAGGCCTGCAGACTTAACACCAGGTGGATGCCACCGAGGTTTCAGGCCTCTACTCTCCAGGGCTGCTGCACAAACCACACTTGGGGCCGCTCCAGGTGGAGCAGCTGGGATGCAGGGAGCAGGATCCGGAGGGCAGCTGTGCCCCAGGTCTGTCCTCTGGGACAACTCAGTCCTTCTAGGCCTCAGGGCCTGTGATGGGTGGGGCACCCTTCCAGACTTCTCAAATGCCTTTAAGGCATTTTTTCCATTGTCCTGGTTCTTAGCATCTGGCAGCCTCACCACCAAGATAATGTCTTTAGCAACCAGTTTATCTGCTTCACCCTTACATTGTTCTCCAGCTCTCTGCTTCTTTACGGTATGGCCAAGCTGCAAATATTCCAAAACTTTACTCTCTGCATCCCTTTTAATTTCTGGCTTTACATCATGCCTTTGCCTCCATAACTCAGAGTAGGCTGTTAGAAGTAACCATGCAGTGTCCTTAATGCTTTGCTGCTTGGAAATTTCTTCAGCCAAATGCTCTGGTTCACAACTCTCAAGGCCCACCTTCCACAAAGTCCAAGGGCACGGACACAATGCGGCCAAGTTCCTTGCTATGGTGTAGCAAGGGTTATCTTTTGTCCAGTTCCCAATAAGTTCCTCATTTCTATCTGAGATCTCATCATCCGCCTGGTCTTTACTGTTCACGTTTCTATCAACATTCTGGTCACAACTATTTAACCAATCTCTAAAATCTTCCAAACATTCTCTCATCTTTTTGTCTTTTTCTAAGTCCTCCATACTCCTCCAACCTGTGTCCATTACCCAGTTCCAAAGCTGCATCCACATTTTCAGGTATCTGTATAGCAACACCCCACTCCGTGGTACCAATTTTCTGTTTTAGTCCATTTTGTGTTGCTATAACAGAATTACCTGAGACTGGGTAATTTATAAAGAAGAGAGGTTTATTTGGCTTACGATTCTGGGACAGCTGCATCTGGCACGGGCCTCAGACTGTTTCTACTCATGGCGGAAAGTGGCAGGCAGCCGGCGGGTACAAGCAGATCAAATGGTGAGAGGAAGCAAGAGAGAGAGAGAGGTGCCAGGGTCTTTTTAAGCAACGAGCTCTCGCGGGAACTAACAGAGCAAGAACTCACTCATTAATCCCGCCTCCCCCAGGGAGAGCATTAATCCATTCATGAGGGATCTGCCCCCATGACTCAGTCAGTTTCCAACACTGCCACATTGGAGATCAAATTTCCACATGAGTTTTGGAGGGGACAACACATCAGAACTCCATCGAGGGTGTTCTGTCATTGTGAGCTCTTTCACTTTCTGTGGAATGACACTTTAAAAGAAAGCCATGGTAAGGATGACCTTTGAGTGGGTATAACCTGTAAGCCTCAGAAAACAAGCCTGGAATATTGGCTCTTGGATTCTCTATCAGCTCAAGTGTCACACTTACCAAAAAGGAAATTCTAGATTCAGACATAAATAATCACCAATTTATAATAAATGACTACCACTTAGCCTTTTCAAGATCACGCATAGGAAGAGAAGCATAAATAAAATCTCCAGATATTATATCCCATAAAAATTAAATTACTTATAAACAAAGCCATACAGTTGAACTCATCATTACACACTTGTGTGACCTACCTAGTAATTAACATATTACAGTCTATAAGAACACAGTGCCATCTATAATGTATACCTCTTAGATGGTGTATTATTCAGATCAGAAAATTAGGCAGCATGAGTCACCTTAATGTTAACACTAGTTAAAAGACAAATATGGCAAGTCTAAAATCAAATAGTTCAAAGACCCAATTTCAGCTAGTCCTTTACTTTCTATCAGTGATTTACCAAAACGACTAATGAAAAGCAAAACTGACATACCAAAATTTCCTTTCTTCCCCATGTATTATCATTTGTTAACACTAAAACAGAAGGGTAAGTACAGAAGCCTAGAAAATCCACAAACTAGACAATACTATATAATCATGCTATATATGCATATACTATAAAAAGAAAAATAAACAGAAAAACACAAATTCAGCCCTAAAATATCTCAAGTATGATAAGGGAGACTGTACTCCCCTATAAAAAAGACTCCTGTGGTTTTTTTCACATGTATTTTCTCAAAACAATTAGTCAAGAATCCCTTCCTTATTCCCAAATCTGAGCCTCTGCATTTTGTATGAAAAATGAAAACCAACACAATGTCTATACTGTAATTAAAAAACACACCATCTCCTTTCAATGCTTTTGTAAGGTGGATATCTAAGTGGCTAAGCAGGTACTCCTAGCAACTGAAGAGCCTTCAATCTATTATAACCTGATTATTTGAAACACTTAATACTTTGAAAAAAAAAAAAAAACACTCTAATCTCACTGTTAAGAAGAAGCTGCATAAATTTAGTTGTCACCAAATAATAAAATTTATAAACTTCTTTTATTTCTGCATCCCTAACAACCACATTTTTTTTTTAGACCTAACTAGGCAGGGGATGATAATCAGTAGATACAAATGTGCTATAATTACAGACCGAATACCTTAGTTGCTTCAAGAACTCCACATCAGAGTTGCTATTAATAAGCTTGATGAACTCTTCATAAGAAGGAGCATAGGTGTAGGCTCTCTTGTGATGTTCATTCATCTGTTCTCTGTACTCCAGCTGGGCAAGTAGCATTTGATTAATGTAATCTGGATTACTCAGTAACTCCACTACTGGCTTCAAGACTGTGGGAAGGAGAAGAAAATGCTTCTTTTGTGAAAAAGGTATTCTTCTTTAAGGGAATAATTTTTATATCACATAATTGAAACTACATTTGGTGAGCATTTTTCAACTAGCCAAGTACAGGAAACTATAAACAATTCAAATATTCCACACGGCTGCCTATCTCTCTGAATGTGCTACCAATTATGGTTACAATCAGCTGATCATTTTAATAAATGAGTGAAATGTAAAGGAAAAATTAAAGGAAGACATTTCGAACCCAAGTTGCTAACAAAGCTTTTAAAATTAAGTACACTGATTTTTTCCTTTCATTTCTTTTCTAAGGCTCAACATGTTTGATCAGTTTAGTCTGCCAAAGGATGAAAGTCAACATCCTCCCAACTGGTCATAGCAGACCTCAGGGAGGAAGTTGTTAAAAAGTCAATGGCACTATTACAAATCCATCCTACTAACTTTATATTAAAAAGTTCCTCTTTTCTCTGTGGTTGTTTATATCAACTGATGGGCACCAGCTGGCTAATCCTGAGATAATAAATGAGATATTCAATCAGTACATCTCATATGCAATGTTATCTGTTTGAGATTCTGAGATAGGGAAAATTTCTCTTAGGTCATGTTTTCTTCCATTTTTCTAGTCCTAGCTAAGCCTTTCCCTGAATATAACTTTTTTCTAGTAATCACATTATATGGCGGTATAGTACCTTTTTATTTATTCCAAATTCACAAAATTTGTATAGGTACTATATCAATTAGTGTTACAGCAAAGATATTTTAAGTAAATGCTAATAAGAATGAGTACATATATATACTTTCATTAATACATACATTATTGGCCTGGATAACTCAAAAGCTATTACCAAGGTTTCCCTGTGGAGAGCATAAGAACTGGTTTTACTGGTTTTATGTCAAAATAAACTGAACTGTGCATATGGCAATGTTATATAAAAAACTTAAGTCTATCGTGCATGGCCAAATATTTTCTTTGAGTGACATTTAAACTTGAAATTTTGAAAATACTATAATTCCCATATATCCCATAGTATGCAAGGTCTGCATAGGTGTTATACAAAGTAGTATGTACATAGAGCATTAGTATGTAGCACATTAGTTTGCACATGTACTACATTAGTAATATCAATTTTATAAGCCTACCTTTTGTTGTGAGAATTTCTGCAAGCATTATACGTAAGCTGAGAGACTGGACATCCTTTGAGGGGAGGAGACAAAACACCAGAACCCGAGAACACATTTGTAGGAATCTTACTTCATCATCTGAGTTCCTCAAGCATGCATGTAACACAAAAGGCCTAGGCTGTTCTTCATGTCTAAAAAAATAAATGAAGTGAGAAAAAAAAGGAAAGAAATGTCTAGAAACAATTCGGTTATATACCATTAGATAAATAATATTTCAAATGGGCAACACACTGGTTATAACTCTGCCACCTCCTCAACAATATCAATAATCAACAATTTCCTCAATTACAGACTAGTCTGGAAAACTTATGCTTGAATAAATGCAAATGTATGGCTTTTTGGAATTTCAAACCAAATATGATAACTACCTTAAGTAGTATCCAAGGTTATGAATAACTCTAAAATCATAGCAACATCCAAAAAGGTACGAGTATTTCTTTAACTAGATTATTTTTAAGTCTTCTAGATGTCTTCTTAAACGTGATCTATAGCTCTGTTTTCCAAAAACAAACCTAACAAAGCATAAACGAGAGTCACCAGCCAGCTTTCTTGACTGAAAGATCATAGGATAAAAATTCTACAGGTAGTTCTAACAAGGAGAGGATCCATAACTTGATGCTACATGATTAGATGGCAAACTGCCTTTTGTGAGGCTTCCAGGTATTTTCCAACCAGTCTTGCCAACCTTGGCTGTGAACTTTCTGTCAGCACTAACCCCATCTCAGGACCGTTAATTTGAAGGATCTGAATGAAGAGTGGAAAGTAGAGTTTCTATACTTCCCTTTTTTTTTTTTTTTCTTTCCCTTTTTGTCTTTTTCCGTGTCCAGCAACGGATCGCAACCCTCAGTGTCGCCCCCATACCGGACCGGGACCGGCAACAGGATTGCAACCCTCGGTGTTGCTCTCGCGCCTCGCTCAGCCAGTGAGCGGGAACCGGTCTGTATGTGGGATCCGAACCCTCGGCGGGAGCGCCGCCACACTTCCCAAGCGGCGCACTATAGCAGTGCGCCACCGGGCCGGCCCTATACTTCCCTTTTCCATAATATCTTAATAACAATTCAAGAAAGACTGGGACACTAATTTTTCTAATGTCTTCCAGATAAGAGACAAAGTATAAGAGATTTTTATAGTAGCTAGCAGCCAATACTGAAAAAAAAAAAAAACGCTAGATAAAGGAGGAAACACATACTAAGTACTATGCAGGAAATGAAATAAATGTATATTGGTGTCTTTATGACCAATGTCTCTCAGGAGTTAACTGCTGATTTCTTTTTGCACTAGAGACTGAAGACTAGTTTCTAGAGTATGTACACTATAAGGTTTCCTCTTTGTCTTCTACAACAAGCTTGAGGAATTCTATCCTAATGTGCAAAGCCAACAACACAAAAAGAGATTTTTAAAAGTAAACCTTTACACATACACTGATACATGTTAACTTTTTAAAAAATGGCACCTTCGACTATTTTAAATGCTGGCTATGTTGCCAGCTAGAGTTCATATTTCAATATAGTAAGATTAAGATGCTACTCCTTTGTCACATCAAGTACTTTTAAAGATAATTCTTTACTTTAAAATACGTATTTGGTTAATATTTATTAGAGAAGGTCCCCCCCCCAAAAAAAATCCACTTTTACTAGAGAAGCTTCTTTTAATAATATCAAAATTCCTCCCAAATATCAGGAGAAGGCAGATAAGAAGCCTGGTCCTCAGACTGCCACAAGTTCCTCTCCCTCCTAGAGCTGAGTTAGGGAGAAACCTAGTGAGACAAAGGCCAGAGGGTTAGTCAAACATGCTAAATCTAAGGAAGAAGGAAAGGTGAATGTTTCCTAGGAATCCCTCTGCTAACTGTGAGCAGGATATTCCGATGATGCCCTCTAGCCAGTAAACATCAAGTATTGCTTTAGAAGTCATGAAAGGATCGGAGGCATGTGACTACTTCTGCATCAGGACATGACTAGTTAATTAGCCTTCTGGTGGTTGCAGCATTAGTCTTTGCAGCATCCTTCTTCTGACAGTGTAGATCAATCACTTGTTTACTACAATTCCTCCTACTTACCTCTGTGTACTCATTCCTCAAGTAAGCAAAAAACATTAATCTTTTAAAAGCTTTATAAGTACAATATTACTAATCTTCCCACCTACACCAAGAACTAGCTATCACCTCCACCATTTTATAGACTGGTTAATGGAATACTCAAAGTAACAGAGGTAATAAATGGTAGATATTACTCTCAAGTTCCATTATGTCTGACTCTCAAGTCCAGACTCTTTACACTTCACCATAATCAGAGATTGCAAAGATAATAGGAAAAAAGTTTCAGAGATAAAGCAGGAAAATATAAGAATACAAACATTCTTTTTTACCTCTCAAACAGCGTGCTAGTACTTGACCAGCAAACTGAGCGCAGATATTGTAAGGACACTATAAAATTAAAGATGCTATTGAATTAATGGTATAAAAGCAATCATTTTTAGATTTTCCTAAAACATGCTAGAACAAGACAGATGGGACAAAGGAAGAGGAGGCAGAGGCAAGAATTAAATGGGATCTGGATTGGCTTAAAGCAACAAAAGAATGACAGCCTAGAAATATAAACACAGGCTGACCGGAAAGCTGCCTCCACACAATTGCCTAATAGTCAACTAGGGGATGTGTTGCTTTTATTAATGCAATTTATTATTCTTTTGTCTGATAATGGCCAATTCAATTGGGTGCTCCCCAGGCTACCAGCATCATTTTTCAGCCAATGGAGATCTGCCCACCAACAGAGATTTCTAAGATGAGACACTGTTTACTTAGGGCCAGCAGACACAGATGTAGCCATCAAATCTAGACTCGTCTGCCATCTCATTTGTGCTTTGTATGAGATGATACAGATAATATTAGTTTCTCCAGGACACAAGCAACTATATGTGAAATGCCAGTGACTTACTCGCACTTTTCAAATATCCATAATACCAGAAAACAGTGGTAGATTTTTTTTCTTTACTTTGTTCGTGGAAGCCCAAAGAGAAGGAACTCCTGATACGGATTCAGTTCTGTTTCCATTATTCTAATGCTTTACTCATAACTACCTTCACATTATTCACAAAAGCAGTAATTTCAGAAGCTGGTAAATGTCTCAGTGAAAAATATATTCTCATGTTGAAATTAGATAATCATAAAAACATCACATTTCTGTAACTACTTGCTTTTCTCCCAAACCTAAATCCATCAGTCTTCTAACCAGAATAAACATTGATTTAAAATAACTGTCCTCTGTTGGGCCATAACTCAAATACTTTAAGGAGCTTCCACTGAAACCAAACAAGTCTTTGACAGTATCTGTCAGGGAGAACTATGAAACACTTTGTATAATGGATACCACAGCAAACTAGCAGGTACTCCAAGGGGTTGATGAACACTTCAAAAGGAGAGGTCTTTGACAGTATCTGTCAGGGAGAACTATGAAACACTTTGTATAATGGATACCACAGCAAAATAGCAGGTACTCCAAGGGGTTGATGAACACTTCAAAAGGAGAGGCTGAAGCTTTTTAGACTCTAGGTCCCAGAGTCCTATTTCTCTCACTTTCCTTATTAACTCACATCCTCACCTTTACTAGAAGCTATTTTCTATAAGCAGCAGTTTTCAAAGGTTGCTCCAGAGTCTCCTAGGTGTCCTCAAGACCCTTTCAGGGGCTCTGTGAGGTCAAAACTATATTCACAGCGATATAAAAATGTCATTTGTCTTTTTCACTCTCATTCTCACAAGTGTAGTGGAGTTTTCCAGAGGCAACATAATGTGTGATGACATCATCACTCTGATGGCTCGTGGAAAGCATACTGTGGACTCTTGTGCTTTAAAATATTCTCAGTTTTAATATGTAATATGGTAAATATCCATCAATATGATGAGTGGTGCGCTAGGAAATATTTAACAACTGACTCTCCAGGGGGAAAAAAAACTCTGTTAGAGTCTTTGCCCATGCCCACCATGTCTGATATCAAGCTACCAACATGGTATCAATGAACTCAGAGTTGGGAAGAAACGTGTACAATCAGCTCTCACATGCCAGTACAAGATAGCTCCAGCACACCACTAGATATAACCCATATAAACAAAAGCTCTTTGAGGTTCTCAATAACTTAAAAATATAGAGGGATCCTGAGACCAAAAAAACTGAGGACCACTGCTTTGCAGTAATGTTTTTCAAGCCATGAGTTGTGACCCACAAGTAAAAAAATAAAATTGAGTTGACCTCAAACAACATTTTTTCAAATTGCTAAAAAGTATCAAATTATCACAGGTAATAAGAGTACCATTTTATAAAACTGGGTCATAGTATAAGTATAAAATGTATTTCTCACTATGGGTCACAGTTTTTTTTAAAAAGCTTGCAAAACACTGTGTCAGCAAACTGGAAAACAGGGGGCATGTAATGGCTCTGTGGATTTTGGTCTCATAAAACTGAGAATGGAGACCTGCTGCACAAACACATTTAGCAAGCAGGGCGCACTGTAAGAACAATATCACAGGATAGGACAGGGCCTATTTTCTGAAAAATTCACACCACAGGGCTTCTTCAAGAGAATATGAGTTATTACCTGACCAACAAGGATACCAATACTGACTTATCCCCTTATGTAGTTTAAATATTTTATCCCCTTAAATAGTTTCTCTTCCCCGAAAGTGAGAATATGTCATATTAACTATACAGTAGTATCATTCCTATTCCAACCGAGTCCATATCCAAACAGGCAGAAGGCTATTCATTTCAATAAGACTACTTTTTATGTACAAGTTAGAGGTGCTATATATAACTTATCGTCCTTGAACTTATTCAAGAGTAAAGTATACATTTAAGATCCTATCAGCAAACTTAAGAAATTAAGAGTTTGTTATGAGCACAGAAATGGCCTTGTTGAAGTCTTCTTCTAAAGGCATACTCTAACCTAACAGACACAGACAAACCTTTTCAATGTAACAGTACAAAGGGCTAACAATCCTAAATATTCGTTATTTTCACAATGAAACATCTCTAATTAGAGCTCACAAGCTCTAATATTAAGTTCCTTTAAAAATAAGTTTTCAGGACACTGTGATACAAGAGCTCTTAATACAGGACTAAACAAAAAAACATGAACTATATTTAAATTTTTCTAAAAATTGTAAACTCATTGACACTGTTCACATTATAAAATACTGTTTTTAAATTTTCTTTTTCTAGGTATCCATGACAATACAAATAAGTTCATCATGGTGCTGGCTCAGTAAAATTCATTTCACTGTTATTTACAAAATTAAACATATCTATGAAGTGGTTTTCTATTAAAAAGTTACAAAAAAACTATTCTATCAGAACATAATTATTCCCCCTCAGTATGTCTACATTTTCAAGCCAAGTGCTAGCAAGAGGAATATTCTAGAGTTTTCTCTTGACTTTGACCTCTTACTCAATAAGAAAAATATTTCAGTTGGAAAAGTTGGGTGGGGCTGTTCACATTATAACAGTTACCTGGCATTAGCAGCTTTCAGATCACAGAAATGAGTGAGTAAAGTCCTTACAACATCACTGCAGACAACTTTAACCATATCCACGTGACTCAATCTGTGACGCAGCTGTCTGACAGTTTCCCAAAAGTCTTCTGAGAGCAGATGGTAAAGTTGTCCCTCATCTCTGCTGAGTTTTCCATACCAGGACAGAATGTAATCTCTATAACTGTAGTCGAACACTACGAGGAATAAACAAAACAATGAGTAAAACTTAAATGAAAGAAACAAACACCAAGACAGCATTTCTACTAGAAACTGGCCACCTACTGTTTAAAATATGAGAGTAGAAAACAGACCTCAAGAGAAGACAGGTAATCCTTCCTAAATATCTTAAAGTGAAAGATTCTCATCTATTTAGAATGTCTGGGTATGGTGACCACATGTCCTGCATTTTCTTAGCCCAATTTTTAAGTATTCTATCTTGGTGCCTGTGGGGAAAATAGAACAATTTAGTCAGGCTCCCTCAACATTTCTTGTAAACAAGTTGTGTGTGGGTGGAGTTAGTGCACAGTGCACCCATGTATCTTTCTAGTTAATTGCTATTGTGCACAGTTTGTGAAGCAGAGCTGGCCTGCAGAGAGCTCACATCTAAAAATAGAGCATGTTTACTCTGCTGGCAGCTGCTCAGTTTTTAGTTTTTCTTTGGACCTTGCTTGTAGCAGTTGAGTTTGAGTTTCTTCTTCATACTGCCTAGCTCCTAGATGTGTGTGTGCTGAATAAATACTATTCCTTCTTCAACCAAGGCTCCAAGGAACTTTTTGTCAGTTACCTAGTTCACTGGAAGTCATGAGGAAGTTGTTTTTTTCTGCTCAACATACGAAGAAACTGAATAAAAACATTGAAACTATTCAAGAGGTTGCCACATTCGACAGTGACCGTTCCACTATAAAGTTTTAAACAAGCTGGATATCCAATGGACAAGGATGATATAGAAAACATTACTTCCTTGGGTGGTGGGCTTGACTAAATGACCTCTGAAGTCCCTTCTCTGCGAGGCCTTTATATCCTTCTTCTGGACATCTCAATGCCAAGTAACAAGGACGTGATGAGCACTACCTTGCCAATAAAATGCTGCTAATTCATTTCCAATTCTTTCTCTCTTGCTGTTTTATTAAACTAAGAGTTTGCATGCCACAGAATTTTTAACTAGTAAGCAAACAAATCTGCAGCACAAAATACTTAGAAAATAGAAGCAATTTTCCTTTTCATTAAAATTTAATTTCAAATTATAACAGGAAATTAAGAACAATTATAAGAGACGTAATATCCTTAAAATAAGATCTTGTTCAGTGTGCTAAAGGCTTAATGTGAAGGGCATATTACCTATGTAATGTCCCATCACATTTGTTAACCAGATTACATATGCTAATTAATATAGCTCTAAATACCCTTCTGATAATACATTTTGCTTAGGAATTAATAAAAATAAATATTGGAAAAAAATTGAACTCAGTAATAGAAATATGTGTTAGACACAGGGATATCTCCTATTTATAGCTCATCAGCACCCCTCACTAAGTTAAAGGAGAGACCATGGGCTAGCCATTGAAATTATGGAAGGGCCATGAACTGAATGAGTTGAGCCTATGTCCCAGGAATGAGGGATTCACCTTAGACTAAGGACAAAATCCAAACACCCACCCTAAAAAAATGTATAAAACCAAGTATCTTCCAGGCAATTGCATACTAAAACAAAAACCAACACTCTTCAGAGCAAGGTAACATATCTAGAATGTCTAAAAAAAGTAGTATACACATTGTTCAGTATACAATTGAAAATAACTACACATGAGAAGAAACCCAAAAAAGTGACAATCAAGAGAAAAAGCAATCAGTAAAAACCAATCCCAAGATGGTTCAGGTGTTAGAATTAGCATACAAGGACTTGAAAGCAGCTATTAAAAGTATGTGCAAGGAATTAAACACAGAAACAGTCATAATAAGTGACAGATGGGAAAATCTCAGCAGAAAAGCAAAATCTTAAAAAGAACCTAATAAAAATTTTAAACATGAAAAGTAAATATTTGAAATAAAATTCACTTAATTACAAAATGCACTTAACTACAAAATGAAGATGACAGAAAAAAAGATCAGTGAACTTGAAGACAGATGAATAAAAATTATCCTATCATAAGAACACAGAGAAAAAAGAATTGGTAAGTTGGACTTTATCAAAATTAAAAAATTTCTGCCAAAGACACTATTAAGAAAATAAAAGGCAATTCATAAACTATGAGAAAATACTCTCTATAACTAACAAAAATAAATAAATCCAGAATGTGTGTGTGTGTGCGCGTGTGTGTAAAAATTTCTGCCAAAGACACTATTAAGAAAATAAAAGGCAATTCATAAACTATGAGAAAATATTCTCTATAACTAACAAAAATAAATAAATCCAGAATGTGTGTGTGTGTGCGCGTGTGTGTATATATATATATAGGTCATCCCTATATAGGATCCGAACCCGCGGCGGGAGCGCTGCTGCGCTCCCAGCGCTGCACTCTCCCGAGTGCACCACGGGCTTGGCCCCAGAGTATATTTTTTAAACTACAAATAAATTATAGTAAGTTTAGAAAAGAAAAACTTGAACAGACATCACAAATAAAGATAAGAAAATGGTCAATAACACATGAAAAGATGTTCAACATCACTGTCAACAGGGATATGCAACCTAAGACCACAATAAGGTACTATTTCACATCCATCGGAATAGCTAAAATAGAAAGAGTGAACAACCTCAAATGCTGGTGATAATATGGAACAAATGAAACTCTCATCACTGGCAGGAGTCTAAGGAGATACAAGCACTTTGGAATACAGTTTAACAATTTCTTCTATCCTAAGACCCAGCAATTCTATTCCTAGGTATTTCTCCAAGAGAAATGAAAACATATGTCCACAGAAATATTTGTTTATAGAATCTTTATTCACTAAGTTTCCAAAATTAGAAACAACCCAAATGTCCAATAGGAGAAAAGATAAATATATTGTGATATAGTTGTATCGGTATAATGGAATACTACCCATCAATAACAGAATAAAGTCACATACACAATATAGATGAATATAAAAAATATTATGATGAGTGAAAGAAGCCAGTTACAAAAGAGTACACACTGTATGACTGATTCCATTTCCATAAAGTTCAAGAACAGCAAAACTAATTTACAGTGATAGAATTCAAACAATGAAGGGTAGAATTCAAACAATGAAGGCCTCCCCCAAAGAGGGCCATGAGGCAAGTTTTCTGGGATGATAGAAATGTTCTTTACTTTGATTGGGGTGGTGGTTACTTGGTTACGTGCAATTATGAAAATTTCTGAATTGTATACAATATCATACTTTGTACATTTCAAAGTATGTAAACCTTGCCTCGGTAAAAGCAACTAAGGATAAATACTCTTTAAAACCATGATTTTGACATTATGGACAATAAAAGTCATATTTTAAATCCAGTAAGTTTTATAAAAGTCATTGTACTTTACTAACAGAAATATTTTTAAAGTTTATAGTCCCCCAAGTTCTAAACTTCTATAAATCGACACAATTTCAAACTGTTTCTGTACCTACGTAGTACACATCTTCAAATTTTAATATGATGATTTTTGTGAACTACAAGTAAAACATACTTGCTATTATATATGCATCACTTACTCAGTTCTCTCTTATCTTCACATCTAACACCATGTATTCACCAGAATAACTCAGATTTTTTATTCTGTACAATAACTGAAACTGTCAATGTTTTCTAGAAGTTTGATCTGAAAAATATCTTTTTAAACCTTAATTTGATCTTCAAAATATATTACCTCTGTAAACTTCATTTTTTTTTTCTTTGACCAGTAAGGGGATCATAACCCTTGGCTTGGTGCTGTCTACACCATGCTCAGCCAGTGAGCGCACAGGCCATCCCTATATAGGATCCGAACCCGTGGCCTCGGTGCTACCAGCGCCGCGCTCACCCGAGTGAGCCATGGTGCCGGCCCTTAAACTTCAATTTTTATAATTACACTTATTTATTCCCACTTTCAGACACACCAGGGTATTTCAAAGTTTGTGAAAAAAATGGAATTAAAAGACAATATGAATCTTCCCATGAACATTTTGAAAACCCCTCACATAACCATATTATACTTTCCACAATCTCCCCTCTAGCCTTCTTCAATACAAGCTTCACTTACATGTTCTTCATTCTTCTGTAAGACAGACTGCTATCACTTAATTTGGTTAATTAGTTTGTCCACAATGAGCCTGAGTCCATTTATACCCAACACACCTTCTCTAGGTTGTATCTAGAAGAAAAAAATATTTCCTGATGCCTATTTCAGGGAACAGAGAACAGATTCGTGTTTCATATGGAGGAACTAGCTCCAGGTAGCTAGCTTCATGTGACACACAAATTCCTACTCAATAAATGTTTAAGTCCCTTGCATTCAACCAAAACATGAGTGTATGTGCACTATTTAGTCATCAAATACAAACTCAAGAAGAAAAAAATTCCTAATGTTATATGTAGACAAACAGGACAGATAAATCTGCTAGAGATTATTATTTTCCTTTTAGAACACAATGAATTGCTTTACATGGTAATTATATACTCTCATTTAATCCTTACCTTCTTTCAGAGCTTTATCCATATTATGAGAAATTACTGCCCTTCTAGACTGAACTGACTCGTGTGAGTTTCCACACACAGGACTCTGAAATGTAAGGGGAAAGAAAGATATAGATTACTGAATGAAAAAAATCACATATAAAAATAAAAGCAAAGGTATAAAATTCTATTCAAACAAGCTTAAGCTTGTTTGACAAGGCTTAACAAATTATAAAGTTATTCTGGAAAAGTAAATAAACGTTCCAGTTTAGTTAAATTTTTTTTAAAAAATTAAGGAAGCATTTTCCCTACCAGATATCAAAACAGTATGATGAGAGTGTAGGAATAAACAAATCAACAGATCAGTAGAAAATACAAAAATAGATGCATCTATATATGGGAATTAAGAACACAAAGAATTCGAAATCAATGAGAAAAAAACATACACTATTCAATTAATGATATTGGGATAATTTGATAGTCAAATGGGGAAAAAAGTTGTCTTATACTTTTTATAACTCCAAATTGATGAAAAACCTAAATTTTTTTTAACTAAAAAAAGTATTATAAGGATTATAATACTAAAAAAGTATTAAAGTATTATAAGGATTTGATACTAAAGAAGTATTATAAGGAAATAAGGGAGAAGGCCTTCCTAAAATAAGACACAAAATTCAAAAGTTATAAAGGGGGAAAAAATTACAAATATGATTGTTTAAAATAGAAAATTCCTGTTTGACAAAAAATGCTATAAACAAAATATAAATGATAGACTAGGAGACAATATCTGCAACATATGTAACAAAGAACAATATTCAATATATACAGAGCTCCTAAAACAAGAAAAATAACTCGAAAGAAAGCCAAAGAAAGAAATTGAGAGGGCAATCAAAAAAGATAAACAAGGGACCAATAAACATATGAAAAAAATATACAACCTTTTTATTAGAGTAATGCAAATTAGATCAATGACATACCATCAGACAGCCAAAGCAGGGGAAAGACTCACATATCTCATGTTGACAAGGCTATAGGGAAATGGTTGTTTTCATATATTGTTGGGAGTAATGTCTATTTCTAAAAGCTGTTAAGAAGGCAACTTAGCCACATATATCAAAATTTTAAATAAACCATCTTTTGATTCAGCAATTCCACTTAGGTGTCTTGCTAACAGAAATATTTGCACATATGCAAAAAAAAGTATATGTGTAAGGAATTTCACTGCTATATTAACGATAAGGGCAAAAATTTGGAAATAACCCAAGTGTATATCAATAGTCAAAGAGTTAAATCATGGCACACCATTAAATAGAATGCTTTATATACCTTCATGGGAAATTTCATGATGGGAAGATGTTCGGAAGCACAAACACCAAACTGTTAGAAGTGGTTAATTCCAGGCAGGAGCAAGAAATTTTAACTTCTTACCCTACATATGTCTGTATAATAACAGCAGCAATCAATGTTTAAAAAATAAATAAATAAATTGTATAAAGATACAGTTTGACTTTTTTTAAAAAACGGAGAAACTATGAATTAAAACTCTACTAGCTGGCTGGTAATAGTAAATTAGTCTGTATAATAACAGCAGCAATCAATGTTTAAAAAATAAATAAATAAATTGTATAAAGATACAGTTTGACTTTTTTTAAAAAACGGAGAAACTATGAATTAAAACTCTACTAGCTGGCTGGTAATAGTAAATTAAAGAGGAAATTATTTTTAATTAATCACATACCAAAGTGATCAAAAGCATATAAATGTAATTGGGGCCTCCTCTCTGGTTTGGGAGGAAAAATCTAAGAAATTGTAGAGCATTTTTTGTGTGTGTGCATGAGAAACCTAAGTGCTCAGCCAGCATTACCGTATCCCTAAGGAAATCTAAACGGCTAATATCACCCTCAACTAACACACAAGCAGCATGAGAAAATCACTTATTCTCAAGCAGACCACATCAACACAGCTACAATCTATCCCATGACCTTGGGCCACCCACTCGGGAATGTAGAATTTCCAACCCTAGGCTTAGTGTCACGCTATGCATGGGTCAAGTGCCAAGAGTGTCATCCTGTTCCTGCTCATTGTTATTAAAAACAAAAGGCCATAGCTTTCAGATTTCTTAGTAGAAATACTTCTAAAAAATCTTAAGATGTATGTGTTGCACCTATGAGAGAAAACACATTTCTTTAGGCTACTGCTAATAAACTTTATAGGAGACCATTGGTTTGGACTGAGCTCCTGTACTAGGTCCAACAGACCAAATCAAAATGGAGTCACTTGTGCTAAAGTTCCACACTATTAAGCCAAACTATAAGTTGTTTATCTGACCTACAGAGAAATCAGAAGAGAGAGAGAGATAATAGCCAAATCCTCACACAGTCCAGTTTTAGCTGGCAAGTTCCCCCTGCTTTAACTTCGAAATGACCAATCTGCGTTTTGTTCTCTGTTTTTGCTTTCTTCAGCCCTTTTCTGGCTATAAAATCAGGCTTCCTCTGCCTGGCTCATCGGAACACTCTATTTTATATTTTATAGAATGAGGTGTTGCCTGATTCTAGAATCGCAAATAAAAGTCAATTAAAATCTTTAAATTTGTTGTAACTTTGTTTTTTGACACCACAAATTAACATATAACATTCAATACTTTCCCAAGAAATTTTTTAAAAACTTAATCATATACAGACAAAGCTATTTAATGCATAAAAGAAAAAACTGTATTCTCAACCATTTAAAACTATTTTCTAGTCCCTGGGTAGATCACTATCAAAATAAATGGTCAGTAGATTTTACTATAATTAAAAATTTTTTATTTAGTTCATGAAAGAAAAAAACTGAGGAAATGAAGAAATTTTAAAATTCTAGTGCTTTTTAAACATCAGACAAATATCTAAACAACTTCTGAATTTTGGGGACAAACTTTGAATTAAATATTTTCAGAAGGCTATACTGATACATAATTTTAACACAACTTCTCAAGGCTTTGGCAAATAATTTGGTTATAGTTTCCCAAATATAGATATGGTAGTTTTAATGAATATTACTGATTGGATTATAAAACCAAAGACAAATAAAACTATTTGAGAAGTTCCTGAATTGGGGGTTTTAAAATGCAAACTTTTAAAACTGTCTTTAAGGGCTGAGAGAAAAACAGGTATGAATGTGACTGACAGGCAGCACATGCATATTAAAAGCATATTCTGTGCCTATGAGTTTATATTTACAAATTCCTTCAAAATTTTTTCCTTCAAAATTCCTTCTAATTTTTTAATTCTTACTTTTTACTTTTTTTGTCTCCCTCATTATAGATCTACTACCTCTCATCATGTGTCTACATATTTCTTTTAGCTCTCCACTTCATATTTAGATATATGAATATATATGTTAATTATATATATTAATACATAAATATATGTTTGTCACTACTGACTATATCTGAATAAGACCTTTGGTCTCTTTAACTTAAAAAGCTTGAGACAAAACAGCTAGATAGGAAAAATAAGTTCTAGTGGTATACAGTCGAGCTGCCATCTACTATTAACAGTAATTTACTGTACGTTATTAAACAGCTAGAAGAGAACAGATCAAATGTTCTTATCACAAAGAAATGATTAAATTTTACAATGATAAATATACTAATTAGTCTGATTTGTTCATCACACATTGTACTGAAATATAACTCTGTACCCCACAAATACGTATAATCAAGACAAATAAATAGCTTGAGATAGAAAGTAGAGTGGTGGTTGGCAGGGGCTGGTGGAGAGGGGAATAGGGAGTTGCTGTTTAAAGAGTGTAGAATTTCAGTTTTACAAGATGAAAAGAGTTATGGAGATAGATGGTGGTAATGGTTGCACAGCATTATGAATGTATTTATACCACTAAACTGTATGCTTAAAAATAGTTAAGATGGTAAAATTTATGTTGAGTATTTTACTACAATAAAAAAAATTGGAGGCAAGGGAAGCTTATGAGAATAATGTTTTCTATTTTGGCTCTTTAAGCTAAAGCCCTATCATTTTCTCAATCTGATTTTCCAATCTAGTTCTGGATTTTCCCCACCCTACCCCCTAGGAGACACTGGCCCTTATTAGAAAGAAAAAAATTCTTCATCCTTATCCCATTCGCACTGCCTGATGGAAAGTCTCTATAGGAGAACAGGGAAGATAAAAAAAGAAAACACCATGGGACAAAAATAACTGGGGTACTATGCATGGAAATTCCTTTAAGGATTTTTTATGTAGCCAGAATCTGGTAGTGTAAATGAGTATAAGTTAGCCACTACACACCCTATTTCTTTCAGTTCATAAGGACAGAATTTACTAATCATTTTCCCACGGTGGAATTTCAGGAGGGAAGGAAGGAAGGTAACTAAAACTGAAACAAATGCAAAATGTGGATAAATTCTGTGGTTCTGGGGACGACTGAATAAGTCTTCATTCTCCTATTTACAGGGTTTTTTGTGGGGGGAAGGGGAGACAACTCCACAAGGCAGGCTTCCCTAAAGACTTGTTCTTTAAGGCAAATGCTAATTTCCTCCATCTGCACTGGCATAGGCCTCCTTCCTCAGGTAAAGCCTACCTCTTCCTGACAACCACTTTCCTAAAATGACAGTTTTAGGAAAAATGAAAGAAAAATATGTGTACTTTTCCCACTGTCACAAAGAATAAGTGACAGGAATCTTCAATATCCTAGTACAGAAATGAAGATTTCAAATGCAGTCTGACCACTCTGCTCTGCTTTAAGTTTTAGTAACCACATCACAATATTAACTCATAAAAGCTTTTGGTGAAAAAGACCACTGTAATGTATAAAATACACCTTATTTTTTATTTAATTAAAAATAAAGCCTGTCTTCCTTTTAAGATTTTAAACCTAGCCTAAAAACAACTTAACTACTTGGTGAGTTCTCTGGAGAGAGAAATGAGAGGTCTCAACATATAATTGATCATTTTAAAAATGAGCAATTTAAAAATGTTTTTCAAAGGCAAGGCTAAAACTGAAAGCTTTTCTCTAATATATAGAACTAGATCCTCAGCATCAAGAAGAGCACACCCTTTCCTAAATACATATCAGCTTTCTGTTTACTCTTGAATATCAGCTTTTAGACTATAGCCATAATACATTCAAATTGCTTTTACGTCAAGTCTAAAGACACCCTCTCATGAGGAAACAACATCCAGAGAGAAGCCATGCAGAGAAACCTGGGTACTCTGACACCAGTAGCGACCAAACAACCAGGAACTATCTGGAATCCAGCCAATACACCTCATTGTCCATTGTTTTTAAGTATGACACTGCTGTGTTGCTTCCTGTAGGAGCTAGAACAGCCAATCCATAACTTGCAATTTCCTCTCATGCCTATTACCTGGTCTACTCAAATAAACAAGTGTCTCTTCCCTTCTTTATATACATACATATTTTTTACATTTTTAATGTATTTTGATCTTGAAAAGAAAAACAGTTGTGCAGAGTCCAAGGGGTGATGAGTGTAATTTCCTGTAAAGCTACTGAAATCGTGATTTATCTTACAAAAACAAACACAAACCCCCAATAATCATCCTTAACCACATGGAACTATCACATGGCTGAGCCTTTCCACCTACTCTCAGCATGTGACAATCTACTGGGATCTCATGACTAACATTCCAATTCTTAAACTATGTTGTGCTCAAAACCACGGCTCCTTTCAAAACAATCATTTCTGCCTCAGCTTCAAAAAATCATTTATTCAAAACCAAAGAAATAAAAGAACCATGCATATCCCTCCTCAGAAGGATAGGAAGGGAATAAAAACTTGAAAGGCCACCTAATTTGACTAAGATTCTGACAAAAGATCATGAAATGATCCTCACTCATAAATGGGAGGTAAGAGAGAAAGGAAGGAAGGAAAGACAGACCACAGTGGTGTGTTGGACTTGCAGAGGGACAGAGCATACCTAGGATTGCACAGTTGGGTAGGAAAAGCTGGGAGAGGGAGGAAGGTCTGGGATTTATTGGGTGGGGGATGTTGGGAAAACAGAATAATTTGGTCAGGCTCCCCTTGCCTCGGAGCTGGTTCGGTAAACACTGTGTGTGTGGGTGGAGTGAGTGTGCCCACACTGCACCGCTTTGGCTGGTTTTTACTGCCTCAGGCGCCCACCCTGTACAGGACCGTGTTGGGAAAACAGAATAATTTGGTCAGGCTCCCCTTGCCTCGGAGCTGGTTCGGTAAACACAGTGTGTGTGCGTGGAGTGAGTGCGCCCACACTGCACCGCTTTGGCTGGTTTTTACTGCCTCAGGCGCCCACCCTGTACAGGACCGTGTGGCCGGTTACCTACCTCATAGACCTGCGTGAAGGGGTCTGGTGACCCAGCCTGGCATGGAGGGGTCTAGTGACCCAGTCTGGCGTGTGAAGGGTTTGTGACCCAGTCCGTGAATGGGCTTGAGGGGTCTGGGAGCTCCAGACCCTGCCCTAGCTCAACCATCGGTCCAGTCAGTGCAGGATTACCGGCAGGTAAAAGAGTGGCGACAACTAGTGTGGTTGCCTAGCTTTACAATTGGTGTCACCAACAGGATTAAGAGCTAGACAATTGGTGCTGTGAGCAGGATTCCAGACATTAGCCTTGCTGTAGCCAGACAGGGGACATGGGGAATAACTGCAATTTGTGGTAATGAGCATATTGATGGTATTGATCTGGCCATTACATCTTTGGCACAAGTGGTGACGGTCAACTTTGTACTACATGAATATTCATAACCAATTAAAAAAAAAAACATGATGAGCAATAAAAAGCATTCCCAACATGAAAGCTGAGCAGTTGCATTAAAGAGCTATGGGACGAAAAGCAGGGTAGAGAGAACACAGGCTCCAAAGTTAAACAAGCCCGGGCTCTGCCATTTACTAATGGTGGATCCCTGACCCAGCGAC